TTTATAGTAGAGACGGGGTCTCGCTCTTGCTCAGGCTGGTTTTGAACTCCTGACCTTGAGCAATCCGCCCGCCTCGGCCTCCCAAGAGCTAGGATTACAGGCGTGAGCCACAGCGCCCGGCCTAGAATCTAATTTCTTAAAATTAAAAATTATATTTTGCTTAGCCAAAGACCTCATTATTAAGGTACTAGGAAAATATTAAGCATTAGTGATTTTTAGTTCTTAAACCTTAAAAACTCTTTTCCAGAGTTAGGCAGACTTTATTAAAGTATAGTTCTTAGAATAGAGAAAGGAATAAGTATCCAGAAAGTCAATGTTTAATAATCTGTTTAGTATTATCATAGGAATGTAAGTTAGTTTTGTTAATCATATATATGTGGCTTTTGAAATTTTTAAAACAGTTTAACTTAATAGACCAATAGAATTTTAGGGAAGGGGATCATCATTACATGAATCAACTTCATGAAAAGACAACTTTAAACTTTAAATACATATACTTTTTACTGTTAGCTGTTATCCAGTAGGAAAACTGACATGTGTTATGAGTTTTAGAAGAGAATATTCCATTTAGTTGTAATACACAACATTAATTCAGCAGTTAATCCCCCACCGTAAAATGTTCTATAGGGTAGGGAGACACAATAGAAGCACTCTGATCTTTCTTCATGATTTATACCTGAAAAGATAAAACTTGACCATACGGCTTTTCCCTATAAGGTCAACATGATTATTGGCATGAAAAGAGGCAGTCAGATAACAGTAACCTTTTGGTATTACAGCTAGATGTGAACATGGGTGGGACCTCGGTTTTGTTAACTCCCCGTACCAGAGATCTGGTCAAAATAAACAAGAGAATGAATACTGAGTCAAGTGCTTTACTATTAACACTATTTAATATTTTTTTTTTTACTATTTTAAAAGTTGTGGTAAAATATATATAACATAAAATTGCCATTTTAACCATTTCTAAGTATATTAATTCAATGGCATTAATTACAAACAAAATATTGTGCAACCATCACTACTATCTATTTCCAAAATTTTCATCACCCTAAACAGAAATGCTGTATCCATTAAGCAATATTAAATACTTTTGTCAAGAAAAAATTAAGAAAAATCATAGGTGTAATGATAATGCTGAGTTACAACACAATGGATATGAATGGGATTTAAAAGCTAGCTTGGAAAAAAATACGTAAGGTGAAGAAAAAGAAAGGCATGTAGTATCCTTATTTTCAGAGAAGGAAACAGCCTTAGAGAGGTAAAAAGTGACTCCATGAGGCTGATAACTAACTGATAGGACTGTACTGGAACTAACCAATTGAATTCTGCTCTTTCTACCACACCAAGTCATCCTGGTGAGGGGGCTATAGTTTCGGTATGTTTTTTATCTTTTCTTTTTCCAAACTTTTTATTGTACTATCTAACAAAGAGAATGGTTATTTTTCCTTGATCTTTTTTTTCCTAACTTAATAGCTTAAAAATGAATCCAGTATCCCCTTGTGTTATATTTTAAAATATTTCTTAAAGAATTTTGAAAATATATTAACAAGAAGAAACAGTGAGTACATACTATATTTTACCTTCTAGAGATATGAGAAGAAAAATGAGATTTTCTTATTGGAATGTAAGTAATCTTGTCTTGATAATAATTTCTGGGACTGCCAAATAAAAGTCAGGACTAATTTTAAAAAATGGTTATCTATAATAACGCTTACTATATATGAAGGCATGCAACATAATCTCTTAAAGTATAAACATTATAATGATTAAAAGTCATTTTATTCGAGAAATATAAATTTAAAAACTACTAATAATTAAAAATTTATGTTAACTAAAATTTTCCCTCACGTTCAAGACCAGGGAAAGACTTACAAAAACAAGCCCATATTTAGTATATATATTAGTTTTTAAAATTTCACTCTACTTTTAATTATAGTTCATCTCTAATTTACCTCTGCAATCTCTATCCTTTTGGCAAGATCATCAAGAGAAAGAGAGCTATCATCAGAAGGCAGATTCTCCTGTAGACTGTAGGATGCTTCTTCAGGAGAAAGATCTTGAAGGAGATCAGAGTCTTCCTCTTGGTTTTCTTCATACAAAAGGGAATCTTCAGAATCTTCTAAGCATCCTTCTAAAAGGCTGTTCAAGTAGTCTTCTGTTTCTTTATTGAGTTGGTCATCCTTATCTCCCTTTTCCTCTGGGGCCATATACACCTCTGGAAGAAGTGTACTTAAGTCAGATATTTTATTCTTTTCACAATGTACATTCTCAGAAGCCTCTGAGTCAGCCTGGCCCTGTGGTGATTTTCCATCACTGTCCGTAAGTTCAGGTTGCTGCAGCTCATTTACTTCATTGTTCTTAAGTTGGTCTGTGGGCAACGCCTCAGAAGCATCCCGAAGTGGCAACCTGAGTTCTTTTCTTTGAGGCTGTGAATTTTTACCCTCAGAAATCAACGCAGGAGATATATGGCCACAGCCTGGTAAAATCAATGGTTCTGTCACTGACTCACTGGAGGGTAATATCTTAGGGTCTTCAGCAATGCCCTCTATTTTGGCTACATCCCGGTAGGCCTCTGTTTGAGCCCGCTGCAAGTGGCTGTCATCCTCACAAGCATTCTCGGAAGAGTCTGGCCCAGACCTGTTCCCGGCCGTCTCTGAGGACTGGGTGTGGAGCTCCAGTGTGGCTTCAGTGCTGCCGAGCGGCTCCTCCGTGTGGTGCTTTCCTGCAGTTACCAGAAAGACTGGGGAATCTGCCTGCCTGTCCATCTGATTACAGCAGGGACTGCTCCCTGGGGGCTCTTCTTTATGTTGGCTTTCTTTACTTGGTTCCATTCCAAGACAAGTTTTGCTCTCTAAAGACGAAAAAAATAAGTTGTTTAAAATTCACAACACTTTGTATAGGAGAAAAGAGAAGGGACATATGAATAATATATGTAATACCACAATATTCTAACCCTCTCAAACAGAAATTCTATCTGTTGCATAATAGTGTCTTTAGGTAGAGAAAAATACCTAAAGTATTTAGTAAATAATACTTTACATATATCACTAATTATTCAAAAGTATGTTAATATGAATAAATAATTTAGTTCTCATGATAACCAAAAGTCATTATTCAAAGGTTTAAAAGATATTCTTAACTTTATTGGCCTTATATATTTAAATAAATACATCTATTGACCTTTTCCATTTAAATGAAGTGAGAAAAAAATCATTGTTAATATATTTAAGACATGCCATATTAAGTAAATATTTTTACATGATGAACCTTAGTAATACATCTATAATTTAAAATATAAGAAAAGTGGCTGGGCGTGATGACTCACGCCTGTAATCCCAGCACTCTGGGAAGCGGAGGCTCAGGAGTTCGAGACCAGCTGGAGCAAGAACGAGACCCGTCTCTACCAAAAATAGAAAAAATTAGCCGGACATGGTGGCATGTGCCTGTAGTCCCAGCTACTCGGGAGGCTGAGGGAGGAGGATCGCATGAGCCCAGGAGTTTGAGGTTGCTGTGAGTTAGGCTGACGGCCATGGCATTCTAGCACGGGCAACAGAGCAAGACTCTGTCTCAGAAAAAAAAAAAAGAAAAGAAAAGAAAAGTAATATTGGTGTGGTTTACCAAAACTAAAGGAATTAATGTCTGTTCTGTTAAAATTTGTAATTAAACATAATACCCTTAATAAATGTGTTTGCAAATTACTTAAAGGGAGGCAGCAAAGTGTAGTAATAAAAAGAATATCTTTTGGCAAAAGGCAGAAATAGGTTTGAATTTTGTTATCTCTGTTCATTTCTACTTTAAATAAAATCAACCTAAAATATTTTTCTTTCACTTCAAAAATAAACAATTCAAATCCTTTGTGTAAATAATGAATGGGAATTGCAGAGATTGCTGGATAACAGAGAAGCTTGCTCACCCTCAGTTTACTGGTACATTCAGAATTCCTATTTTTTTTTGAGACAGAGTCTCACTCTGTTGCCCAGGCTAGAGTACCATGGTGTCAGCCTGGCTCACAGCAACCTCAAACTTCTGGGTTTAAGCAATCCTTCTGCCTCAGCCTCCCGAGTAGCTGGGACTACAGGCATGCGCCACCATGCCTGGCTAATTTTTTATATATATATTTTTAGTTGTCCAGCTAATTTCTTTTTATCTTTTTTAGTAGAGACAGGGTCTTGCTCTTGCTCAGGCTGGTCTCCAACTCCTGAGCTCAAACGATCCTTCTGCCTCGGCCTCCCAGAGTGCTAGAATTACAGGCATGAGCCACCATGCCCTGCTAGAAGTTTTAACTTTTTAAATAGTCATATATTGCTTAATTTATACAAATAATGGGCCAAAAGTGAAAAGCAAAGATAAAATGTGATAATTTTATTACATTTGGTTTTTCATTTATCGGTACTTTAATAATTAGCAACTGACAACTGAGGCCTATACTATGCCAAAGAAATGGCATTACTTCAGTATCAATCTCTGATGTTTAAAGAAAAGAAAAAAGAAAAGGCATTACTTAAACGCCACCTTCAGATTTCAGAGAATCAGGGACTGAGTCTGACCACTTCAAGTCTGGATTGCTGGGAGAGGAAGCTGTTCAGTCGAATTTGTAGTACCTTCCCCAACACCCTGACTCACACATCAGAAGAGGGTCAGAAGAAGGAGGGAAAGGTCATCTTTTAGGAGAGTACAACATTCTTTCTCTCTCCCTACCCTCAAGAATCAAAGTTTGGGAGACTGCAAGGAAACACATGGATATTTCACTCCCCACAGGTCGTCTGCTTTGCCACTGAGCTTCCTGGCCTTCCCCTCTGTGAAGATGGGGAAGGTGAGAGCAATGAGGGCCACAGCCAGGTGGAAAGGGGGCCAAGCCACTCCTCCACAAGTTCGCAGTATCCACAGGTTCAGAAGATGGCCCTCAAAACATGTCCACAGGATTCACAGGCCAAATGAGATTGGGGACTATAGTCCCACAGGTACTGTTAAGGCACAGGGCAGAGAGACCCGCATATCAGTGGAATGGGGTGTGCTGCCCCTAGCTGAGGGTCAGTTACCTAAAGGACGGCAAACATCTAGGAGACTGAGTTGTTCCCCCTCAGCTGGTCCTGCTAGAGCCACCACACATTCCTCACAGAACAACCTGCATTGAGTCATAAGCCAGCTCCAACTGCAAGCATACTATGTTCCCAGCCCCTAGCAGGCGCGGAGAAGGTAGAGAAGAGCTTTGAATAGAGTGAGATTTAAGTGTTAAAATGAAATTTGGAATTCAATGTGACTAAGTCCTAAAGACTTAGTCCTAAAGACTATTTAATAGCTATAAGTGACTGAAAAGTTACAGAATCAGCCTGATGTGCCATTACACAAGTGGGAAGTAAGGTAGCAGTTACTAGACAAATACAATCACTTAAAGTAATGTATCTAATGAACTGAGATACCACTTATGTGGTAAGTAATAAAGATTATCCATAGGTACAATGTATTATTTACAAAATGGCCTGAAAATGGTTGCTTCATTCCATTATTTAGGAAAAATACAGAAAAATATGAAAAAAAAAACCCACGTAATTTAAGATGCAAAAGGGCAGGAGTTCCAAACTACATTCAGAGAGTCACCCATATTGCTGACATTTCTGTTTGAAACTTATTGTTTTTATCAGACTTGGGCAAGATTTCTTTCTCTAGAATTTAGTTCACACTCCCTCATAAAATGGTTATTAGTAGGATGTCTGGATTATTGAAGCCTTTGACAACTCATACAATTTACTTAGCATTCAACTAGAAACCAGAAGACCCAGGTTCTAGTTGTGAATCAAAGCACCAAGCAAGTGACTTAAACTTGGTGCCTCAGTTTCCCTATGTATACCACATGTATCACAGCAGAAGCCAAGTTAAAGGTAGTGCACCAAGCTATTACTGGGCAGCAACCAGTGCTAAACCTCAAATTCAAACAAATAGCCTGTAACAGTTCTCTTCCTGATGTGGACAACATCCACACCCAAACTAGGTGGTTATTTTGTGATTCCCCCGCTTTAAGATTCTTATGAAGCTCATTTTACTCTGATTTCTGATACAAAAATGACTGAAAAAGAAGAAACAGTAATGTCTGGGCGCGGTGGCTCAGGTCTGTAATCCTGGCTCTCTGGGAGGCCAAGGCGGGCAGATTGCTAGAGGCCAAGAGTTCAAAACCAGCCTGAGCAAGAGTGAGACCCCTGTCTCTACTATAAATAGAAAGAAATTAATTGGCCAACTAATATATATAGAAAAAATTAGCCCGGCATGGTGGCACCTGCCTGTAGTCCCAGCTACTCGGGAGGCTGAGGCAGTAGGATTGCTTGAGCCCAGGAGTCTGAGGTTGCTGTGAGCTAGGCTGATGCCATGGCACTCACTCTAGCCTGGGCAACAAAGTGAGACTCTGTCTCAAAAAAAAAAAAAAAAAGAAGAAGAGACAGGAAGAACAGAGTATAGTAGGATTGACCTAAGGTGATATTCCTAACTAAACCTCATAAGAGAAAAGAAGGTAAATTAACATTTGAAAAAATGATAAAGTACTTTGTAAAGAGTTAAAGGCTAATTAAACTGACAGTGCCATCAACATCTTGTGTCCTCAGGGCAACTCACCTAAAACAGCTAAAACTTCCTCTTCAATATCAGAGCTCTCAAGCCCATGAACATGAAGCCCAGGAATACAAATTAGTAATAAAATCAGACATCAGGAAAAAAAACACACCCTAAAACATATTTATCTATCTTTATTTTTTAAAGTTTTTATAATGAGCAACAGGCATTTTTCTAAACGTTTAGGCATTTTTCTAAACATTTAGAAAAGAAGTTTCTAAAAATCTTTTGACATAGGCACAGGTGGTATAAAATACATCATAAAAGCTCTAAAAATGTATATACACAAATTAAAGTACATCATAGGTTAGTGAACAGAAAAGTAAAGAGATAAATTGCCATAGAGAAATTATCAAGATTTAGAGCTGTAAATATCTAGATTTATAGAACAAATTTCTAGTAAAGTCCATAAAATAAATGTTGGCTTTTAAGCAGAAAATAATGTTTGAATATACCAAAACAAATTCTATTTCAGAGTACTATTGTACAATTTTTTCTTATTCTGTTAGAGACATATAGCTATCTACTGAAAACATGACAATAACTTTATAGTATCTATTGCTAGATGTCTAAAAATTGGAGTTACACAACATAAAAAATCTTGCTTTGTTATTTTTCTAGGAGAGGTATACATACAAAAATGTAAATGCAAAAAAATTCCTTCATGGCAATTCAGATGTAATACTTCTAAAATATTGTAGGAGGCAAGTATCTTTTGAATTTCTATCTAACTTAATTTAAAAACATACCTGACTCTTTGGCTGTAGCTCCTCTTTCCTTTGAATCTTCAGACACTATTAACTGCATAAAGCATTTCCTTCCCAGGGACTTTTCTACAGCTGCTATCTAAAAAGTTTAATAAAAAAGAAAAACAAACAAAAAAACAACACAACGTTTTTTTGGAAACAGTTACATTAAACTAGAAAGCTGAAAATAACTTGAGAAAGATTTATTTTCTAAAACAGTCCATATAACAGACATTACTCTAACATTTTTCCTATAAATATTTTCAAAAGAAACAGTCTCTTACCTTATGCTTGTATAAATGAGGACTGTAGAAAAAAAGAGAGAAAAAAGAATTAAAAAAAAAAATTACAGCAGCAATATACTTCCAAACAAATGTCACTGAAATGGCTATAAAAAAAATACAGCTTCTCTGGATTCTAATATTAGCACAGAACATTTCCATGGCTGAAACATTACCACTGCCTTACATAGTTCAAAGTGGAGCTACATCATGTGTTTAATCTCCTTAGACAGCAAGTTACTATTGAAAACTCCCAAAGAAGCTACAAATGCTGATATCCAGAAGAAAAAAAAAAAGAATAACTTTTTGCTAATAATGAATTTAAAGACTATTTGACATACATAGATTTTTAAAGTTTTAGTTTATATCATTATAGTTTGAAATAGATTATGGCAGAAGATAATCTTTTTGGAATTATCCATGGAAACATAACAAAAAGGTAGATTTTATTTTATTTTTAATTTTTATTTTTTGAGACAGGGTCTTACTCTGTTGTCCTAGCTAGAGTGCAATGGTATGATCATAGCTCACTGCAACTTCAAACTCCTGGGCTCAAGTGATCCTCTTGCCTCAGCCTCCAGAGTAGCTGGGACTACAGGGGCGAGCCACCATACCTGGCTAATTTTTTCCATTTTTATTAGAGACAGGGTCTCGCTCTTGCTCAGGCTGGTCTCAAACTCCTGAGCTCAAGTGATCCTCCTGCCTCGGCCTCCCAAAGTGCTAGGATTATTGGCGTGAGCCACCACTCTAAGCAAAAAGTAGCTTTTAAATATTAAATTTTAGGGAATACCCAAGATAACAACATAGATATACATTAAAGGCATGTATAGAAATGTGCATAGCCACTTTATTCATAATTATTACAAAAAGAGGCTGGGCATGGTGGCTCACGCCTGTAATCCTAGCTCTCTGGGAGGCCGAGGCGGGAGGATCGCTCAAGGTCAGTAGTTTGAAACCAGCCCGAGCAAGAGCGAGACCCCGTCTCTACTATAAATAGAAATTAATTGGCCAACTAATATATATAGAAAAAATTAGCCAGGCATGGTGGTGCAAGCCTGTAGTCCTAGCTACTCAGGAGGCTGAGGCAGCAGGATCACTTGAGCCCAGGAGTTTGAGGTTGCTGTGAGCTAGGCTGACGCCATGGCATTCACTCTAGCCTGGGCAACAAAGTGAGACTCTTGTCTCAAAAAAACAAAACAAACAAACAAAAAAACAATATTAATAGAATGAATAAATCGCTGCCTACTGATACAATGAATCTGCACACCAATAAAAACAAACTCCTGTTACATGCAACAACATGGGCACATGAAGCTAGATACAAATATCTATATTCTGTATGATGGGCAAATATGTTATTATAGAGTTCAGATAGTGGGTACCATGGGCGGTGGGTTTGGACTTGGTATGTGCATGAGGGAGGTTTTCAAGGGGCTGGAATGTTCTGTATCTTATACCTTGCTCAGAGTAGTATTCACATAGACATATATGTGTATGTAAAAATTCATCAAGCTCATATAGTTTATGTATAACTAAAAATATCTTTAAATATTAAAAAAATTTAAGAGTAATATTTGGGGGGAAATATCTAATTTATTTATTTATTTATTTTATTTATTTATTTTTTGAGACAGAGTCTCACTCTGTTGCCCATGCTAGAGTGCCGTGGCGTCAGCCTAGCTCACAGCAACCTCAAACTCCTGGGCTCAAGCGATCCTCCTGCCTCAGCCTCCTGAGTAGCTCAAGCGATCCTCCTGCCTCAGCCTCCTGAGTAGCTGGGACTACAGGCACGAGCCACCATGCCTGGCTAATTTTTTCTATATATATTAGTTGGCCAATTAATTTCTTTCTATTTATAGTAGAGACGGGGTCTCGCTCTTGCTCAGGCTGGTTTCGAACTCCTGACCTTGAGCAATCCGCCTGCCTCGGCCTCCCAGAGTGCTAGGATTACAGGCGTGAGCCACCGTGCCTGGCTCTAATTTATTTTTGAGACAGGGTCTCACTCTGTTGCCCATGCTAGAATTCAGTGGCCCAATCATAGCTCACTGCAACCTTGAAAACCTGGGCTCAAGTGATCCTCCTGCCTCAGCCCTCAGCTAATTAGCTATGGTACACACTATGACACCCAGCTAATTTTTTTTATTTTTCATTTTTTGTAGAGACAAGGTCTTGCTATGCTGCCCAAGCTGGTCATGAACTCCTAACCTCAAATGATCCTCCTACCTGGGCCTCCCAAAGTGTTGGGATTACAAGTGTGAGCCACTGAGGCTGGCTGGAATTATCCAAATTCTAAAGTGTAAAGATATCAAGCTCATATTATGTTCAATGAGTATTTGTTTCTTAAATAATTAAAACATTTATAACACATTAAGAAGTTATTAGTTCCTTAGGATACGCAGGGGAGGTGTCTTATTTTGAGTATTTAAAAAAAAATGATCTTCTTTACTTTAAAAAATTTACTTTAAAAGATTATTTTAAAATGCTCTTAAGTTGAAAGTTAACCCATTTAACTTGTTAGTTAAGTAATTAGGTTATAATTCAGAATCTCTGAAAATACTATTTTAAAGGTTCAAATTAACACAAGAAAATGGTCATCATGAGATTTGAATAAGCATTTATCTCTGAATCTAGAGTCACACTTCAAAGGCTGGTCTGCAAACCAATGAGATTCAAAAACAAGTTCTCTATCTGCTGCATGAGCTACACAACAATTACTGGGCACTGTTTCATTATTAACAAATAGAGCTTTAGTTTTCTCTTTATGATTCTGAGAGAAAAGGAGAAAGCTATCAAGGGAATGGAAAGTCTTTTAACCTTTGTATTGAAGATTTGTGTTCTAAATTCCAGAAATCTGCATTAGTTTAAACACTATTATGTCCCCTCATCTTTGAATTCTGGGTCTTCAAATAATGAATATTTTAAAAAGTAAGTTCTTTATTATTACTATAATTTAGGCTAAAAAAATCCAACTTCTTGGTGGGTGTAGCAGCTCATGCCTGTAATCTCAGTGACTCAGGAGACTGAGCCAGGAGGATCCCCTTAAGCCCAAGAGTCAAGGCTGCAGGGGGCTATGCTCGATTCTCTATACTCTAACCTGGGTGACACAGGGAGATACATCTTAAAAAAAAATTCAACTCCTTGATACAAATTAAGCAATTTAAAATTATCTGGTAAATGTAGTTTTCCCTATGCAGTACTTTGGTTCAATACTGTACTATATTTACTTTACTGCATTAGGCTACTCTTGAAAGTGTTTTTGTTTTTATTTTGTTTTTTACTACAACATACAAATATTAACAAACAACTAGAATAAAAAATCCTAATACACAATTATGCCCATCTGAATTGCTTTATCTCTTACCAAGAAAAGATAAAAATTAGAAGTTATAGTTTTGAATTTCTAATTAGAAGGATCCTTTGAACCTATGTAAAGTTGACCTTTTATTGAGTTCTGTATAAGAAATACATAAAAGCTGAGAAAGATCCTAATAATTTTACTACACCCATTTTAATTTCTCAAGTTGAAATATTAACTAAACAAAGAAATAGATCTTGTATATCAAATATGCAATGCTATTCCAACCCATCCTAACCCAATTCTGACATACTTACTCTTGATGTGTTGTACAAATTTTAGTAAGCCGTTCAAAATCTTCACCATTAAATCCTTTTTCTGAATTCCTTAGAGACATAACCGGATGTGGTTGTACAGTTTTCCATTTTGTTTCTAAATTTAAAATATTTGTTAGTCACTGGCTCTTACAAAACATATTTAGGAGGGAAAAAGAGTTAACTGATAAAGATTATCAGTTTTGCAAAATTGTTTTCTCAAACCACCCCAAAGTTAACAAAGTATATAAGTAAATACCATCCCAGAGACTAAATTAGCCAGTAGGGCTTGAAACGTGATCAGAAGAAATGCAAATAGTTACAAGTGTTCTTTTCTTGGCATTGATACAAAGAGCAAAATACAAAGAAAAACATTTTTTCACATGCTACTTTCTTTGCAACATTAACTTGACTATGGAGACATATATTTTCTGATTTACAAAACCAAGTCAGATATGTTAATTTTCTAGATAGCAACTTGTTAGATTACTGATAATTGCACATTCTGTGTTAGTCTGTACTCACCCCACTGTTCTTGAATGGCAGAAAGATTTGCGAGCAATTGCTCATGATACAATCGTTCAAGCTGAATGAATTTCATTGCTTTCTCATCTGAATAGAACATTTGAGGAAAATGGAAATCCAGTCTATTTAAGTAATCCCCACATTTGAAGAGGAATGTCCTATAGAAATCGAGAAACTTGCAGCTTATCCAAAATTGAGAAGACTCTAAACATTTTAAAACTGAAACATCTAAAGTAATGTTTCTTGGTTTTGAAGTAGGTACATTTTCATGTAGCATATTATGAAGTAGCTATTCTGGTTCCACACTATCAGCAAACAATAGAAACTAAAAGGTTTTAATACTCAAGGAATGTCTGCTTGCTAATATATTTCTAGCAGAGTCAATTAAAAGTAATTTAAGGAAATAAGATCCACATGGAATCCTGGAATCTACCGGATTCTTTTTAGTTTGTTTCCTTCCTTTCTGTCAAGCAACTATGTAACTCTCTTGTCAAGTGTTTGTTCCTGTTTCAAATCACCTTGATCCTGTATTATTTCCCACAGAATGCTTTTCTTCCACAAGTACAAATGATCACATGCCTAAACGATGATAGAAGAAAAAATTACATGGACTTTTTGTAAAAATTTAATTAACTTCCCGCAGCGATTTTCATAATTATCATGTGATTCCATTTTTTGGTAGATCTTGTGAACTTCTGCCTCCTCATCTGTACCACACATATTTGCATCTTATGAGGTCGAGATACACCGTCCAACTGTCTACCTTCCTCTGGGCAATGCTCTAAATGTTGACCCAGAAAAAAGGAAAAGAAAAACTCACTGTTGTTTTGTCCTTCACAGTTTTTTGTCCTTCCCATGATCACTCGGAGGTTCAGTTCTTCCTCTCATTTGTAGTCTTAAAGATATCCCAGAGATCATAAATACTTAAGGCCAGGGAGAAGCAAGAATAATTTCTTTTTTTCCTCTGCCCATGATTTAAAGTATACTAGTGTTCCTTAAACTTCACTGAACAGAAAAATTAAAACTTGCTGCAAAACTTGCTGCAATATAGATTCATGGGTCTGGTCCCCAGAATCTGTGATTCTGACAAGAATTTGCATTTCTAATTTGCGTTTCCCATGAATGCTGATGCTGCTGGTCTACTCTGAACTATATCATATACTCATTATTTGTTAAAAAAAAGAGAGTTCCATCTCCATTTCTAACAGAATTAGATTTCCAACATACTTAGTAATAAACTGTCATTGTCTGAAATTATACCAATTTCCTTGATAGGGTTCATGGTGGTAACTGTTTATCCCTCAGTCTGGTCAGAAATGTGGTGAAAGTCAACAAAGTTAGGAGGAAAAGCAAACGATACCAATGGGGGAAAAGATACATTCTTTCTAGAGAGTATATATTGGGCCATCCTCCAAAACGAAAAGCAGTTTTAAAAAAGAAAAATTGAAAAAAATGAGGGAGGAAATCTTTCCCATACAAAAGTTAATATGTGGCCTCAGTTGACAACATTTATTCTGCTTATTATTAGTGGAGAATTAATCTTTCCTTTGTAGCTATATAGCTGTAATAAGACAGTCACAAGATTCACTGTATATAATATACCTGAGATGATCTACTATATGAATGTTACTTGGCTTGCACATTTGTTCCATTCAAAGGAAAGAAACCCCAATCGATTTTTAAATTTTATTTGTCAGCAACACGTGCCTTTCCCCTACTCTTGAAAATAAATATTTAATGTTGGTAAAATAAAGGCTTATTTATGAAAGGTCAAATTTGAGTGGTTCTAGAAAATTTTCTGGAATGACAGAAATTTTCTACACTTTGCTTTCTGAGGTGGGTATCTACAACTGTCAAAACCCACTGAAATCATATGTCTTGTTCATTTCATCGTATGTAAAGTATACTTCAATTTTAAAAAATAAATCATTTTCTAATAGTTCTATGAATTTCTTTCTATAATTAAGAAAAAGATACAGTCCTCTTCCTGGAAATAGGACTCTGCTATCTGTTAAAAAAAAAACAAAACAGAAAATTAAATTAACATTTGGATGAAAAGACAGATTTGGAACAAATTAAGACCTTGAAACTCCAAATGTCTTTGATATCAAACTAAGAGAACTCTTATTTAACTACATTCGCCAGTTCAGAAGAAATGTGACTGTCGACAGACACAGGACACAATCAATTCTGAAGTCACTCATCTCAAGCAAAGCAAACAGACATTCTTTACATAATAACCTCATTCTTCCTATTTTTTTTTTTTTTTTTTTTGAGACAGGGTCTCACTCAGTCACCCAGGCTGTAGAGCAGTTGTGCGATCACAGGTCACTGCAGCTTCCAACTCCTGGGCTCAAGTGATCCTCCTACCTCAGCCTCCTGAGCAGCTGGGACTATGACACTATGCCTAGCTAATTTTTTTTTTTTTTTTTTTTTGTAGAGACAGGGTCTCACTATCTTGCCAAGGCTAGTTTTAAATGTGTGGCATCGGCCGGGCGCTGTGGCTCACGCCTGTAATCCTAGCTCTTGGGAGGCCGAGGCGGGCGGATTGCTCAAGGTCAGGAGTTCAAAACCAGCCTGAGCAAGAGCGAGACCCCGTCTCTACTATAAATAGAAAGAAATTAATTGGCCAACTGATATATATATATAAAAAAAAAATTAGCCGGGCATGATTGGCATGCCTGTAGTCCCAGCTACTCGGGAGGCTGAGGCAGGAGGATCGCTTGAGCCCAGGAGTTTGAGGTTGCTGTGAGCTAGGCTGACGCCACGGCACTCACTCTAGCCTGGACAACAAAGTGAGACTCTGTCTCGAAAAAAAAAAAAAAAAAAAATGTGTGGCATCAAGTTATCCTCCCACCTCAGCCCTTCACAAAGTGCTAGGATTACAGGCATGAGCCACCATGCCCAGCCTTTCTATACTATTTCAAGTCAAATCTAACTTCCCAAGATTCATTAGAGTTAGAAATAACTCCAAAGAATGAGAAAAATGCTACAGAGGCTTGTAAGAATATAACATGAGTGAAAAAATGATTCTGTTTATTCTAAGTTAAAACGCAGAAATATGTCGTATCATGTAAGACCTTAACACCCCATTTATTTCGTTCCTATTTCAAAAACTACCAGCTGGAGACCTCATAGGACATTGAGTTTTGGTCTGTTTTGATATTTAAGAAAAGTCTGGGCCAAATGCAAACAGTTGAGTTATGATATTTGGAATATGTACAAAGTGCTGCACATTATAAAGAATACTAGATAAAAACTTCAGTGACTCAGGAACTGGTCAAGGCTTGTCACCTACCAGATTCATCCTAAGGCATCTTTAAATTTAAAAATTCTTTAATTCTAAAAACATTGGGATTTTTAAAGATCTTTATTTAGACATAACATTTATGAGTAAGTAGATCAATGAAAGGTGGCTTAACAACCTACCTAATAAAGGAAAATAAACTATCAAACAAAAAATAAGGAAAATACACTCACAACACAACTACACCCTTTGTTTTATTTAATTAAAGCACCTGTGGCCTAACTCTTTAACACTTCGTTTTCTCAGCCTTAAAGAGTCATAAGTGGACACTATGAGTGCGAACTCCCCACTGCAGTTCTCGAAAGCACCAGATTCCAAGGACTAAGATAAAGTCAGTCTTACAGAGAGAAAATGTACCATTTCCCTACTATATATTACATGAGTTTTACATTGCCAAATTTCCTAAATTTCACACCAGCCATTAATCCAGGGTCACTGTCTGCTAGGTTTACCAATGATGGGGGGAGGGGCGTGGGGTGAGGGGATAGAATCAATTGCAGAGAAATGGATTTTAGGTTATTCCAAACACTGGTACCACAATTTTAGTGAGGTTGAATGTAAAGGGTGTACTATATACCTGATGAAGGCAAAGGGGAAGTGCTCTTGAATCCAACTGCTCAACTTCACCTCGTATAAGTGAAAACAAAGATTGTAGAACTAGCTTTGGAGCATCTGGTTGATCATTAGCATTGACTTCAGCATCTTCATCACCACCACCACGTGTGGCTGCACTTAGTATTTTTTCTTGCATTAAAGGTGTACTATCTCCTGAAGAAAGTCCTTTAAAAAGTAAAGAAAATGGCCATTAGGATAGATTCGTACCAAGGTATAGTGCCTTAAAACCATCACGCCTGCTAACCATAAAGCTTTCAAATATTTAGTAAAACTAACCATACAAAAAGGAAAAAACCCAGAAACCACAAGTTATTGTCTACATTAACACTGTGCTGACATCTGAGTACTTAGCATACAAATAAACCACTTTGGGCAGAATTATAATTAAGAGTATTAAGAAAAAGAGATCTGAAGAAAAGTACGGTGGTTAAAAGCTGGCCACAAACTGGATTCTACCAGAGGAAAACTGGATTACCGATAATTTGAAGTTCTGGCTTGCCCAAAATAAAACAGTACTAAACAGGAAGGTACATGTGTTTATCATGTGAAACAGCTAAAGAAGTTGAGCCTTTCTCTTTAAACTCTGGTCTGATGACATTAGAACTACTTCTGGATCCCAGGAGAGTGGCAGGAATTCAGATGTGAGAGCTAATGACCAGTGAAAATTTTTCCTAATAAAAAGAAGTAACACAAACTTCTCAAAAATCATTCATACATGCTCATCCATAGTTCCTAAAATGCACCAAAATTTTAAAATTTAATTTTTATAAATTATGACTTTGCTCTTCACCGAAATCTCAGTATCAGTTCTAATTTTGATGTTCAAAGTGAATGGATTATGTGCTTGTGTACATACCTTCAACTAGTCTACTTCAGAAAGGATGTTGCTCAGTAATATAATATGTATGCACCATGACTGAGGCCACCCTCTCTCTAGAGCTGTGGTCCCCAACGCCTGGCCACAGACAGGTTAGGGATCGGGCTGCAGAGCCCCCACCCCCACCCCACTCTGTGTCAGCAGAAAAATTGTCTTCCATGAAACCAGTCCCTGGTGCCAAAAAGGTTGGGGACTGCTGCTCTAGAATGTGCCCAGAACCCTGCCTTCTAAATAAACTCAGTGCTCTGGCTAGACTGGCCTATTCTTCATCTCCCTTTCTGAGGAACTGTGGATTCCATCCCTTTCTGAGCAATTGCGGATTCTAATAGCTGGAATATTTTCCTTCCATCTATGCCTATTTGTCTTCTACTCAAACAAAATCCATATCCTTTCCTATACCATGATCCCGAAGTCAACTTATTTTCCTCTGAATCCTGCATATGGCCTTATCTATGCTAGGTTGCATCATAGTAATTGGTGTAAAGTCTCATCTTTGTTAGATCATAACTCCTACAGCAAGGAGGTTAATTTATGTACCACGGTATCCCAATTATATCCAGGGTAATACCCTCAGCACTAAAATTTCAAGTGTTACACTTCTTTAAAAAAATCACCTAGAGTAATTACTTATATTTTAGAGAATTCTATTATTTTTTTCTTAGAGACAGGTTCTTGCTCTGTTGCCCAGGGTGGAATGCAGTGGTATGATCATAACTCACAGCAACCTCAAACTCCTGGGCTCAAACAATCCTTCTGCCTCAGCCTCCCGAGTAGCTGGGACCACAGGCACGCGCCACCAAGTCTGGCTACTTTAAAAAAACTTTTTTTATAGAGCCGAGGTCTTGCCATGTTGCCCAGGCTGGTCTTGAATTCCTAGGCTCAAGTGATCCTGCCAAACCACTGGGATTACAGGTGTGAGTGGCTCTTCTGTAACTTTTATGTCACTAGGCACAATATTTATAGAAAACATACGTGATTCTTCTGCTTTCTAATTTTCTAACCACAATGGTGGCAGAACCAAAAGAGTGCCAATGTGGGACCAGGAACTTTCCATGAAGAACTACAAAGAGTTTGCTGAGGCTGGCAAGCAGTAACTGTTCTGCAGAAACATAGCTACCAACACACTCAGAGGAAAGGCATGGGCAGTAATTGTTCTGCAGCAAATTGTGGTAAGTTAGAATTCCTTTAAACATACTTCAAATCCTGAGAGTGTCACTTACTAGCAATATGATATTGGGCAAGTTAGTTATTCTCTCTGTGCTTCAGATTCCTTATCTATAAATTGGGGTTAATTGTGATATCCTTAATAAGGCTGTGGTGAGGATTAAATGAGATAATTCATATAAAGCATGGACCACAGTGGCTGGCATATAGTAAATATTCAATTAAAGCTCAATAACTTATGTTTTTGTTTATTCATTTTAGAAATAGGATCTCACTCTGTTACCTAGGCTGGAGTACAGTGGCACAATCATAGCTCACTGCAGCCTCAAACTCCTAGGCAAGCAATCCTTCTGCCTCAGGCTTCTGAGTAGTTGGGATTACAAACTCACCACTGTCACACCTGGCTAATTTTTTTTTTTTTTAGAGATGGGGTCTTGCTATGGTGCCCAGACTGATCTGAAATGATCCTCCCACCTTGGCCATCCAAAGTGCTGGGATTACAGGTATGAGCCACCATGGTTGGCCAAGAATTTATGTTTTTAAAACTCAGCAAATTGCAATCAGACCAAACTTTGTATGTTCCTAACACTGAGGGGAGTGTTACGAATTTTTCGTGATTTTCTTTTACACATAACAAAAAATTTAATATTTTAACCATTTTAAAGCATACAGTTCAACTGCATTATATACATTCACAAAGTTGTGTAATCATCACCACTACCCACTTCCAGAACTTTTTCATCATCCCAAACAGAAACTCAGTACCCATTAAACACAAACTCCTCATCCCCTTCCTGTCCCCTAGAAACCTCTATTCTACTTTCCATCTCTATGAAAGAGACAGAATATGCCTATTCTAATTACCTCATTGCTAAATGGAATCATAAAATCTTTGTCCTTTTGTGTCTGGCTTATTTCACTTAGCATGGCATCAAGGTTTATCCCCGTTATAGCACACACACATCCATATGTAGCATTATCAGATTATCATTCCTTTTTAAAGCTGAGTAACATACACACACACATATATATACACATACACACGGACACACACACACACATCACATCACATTTTATTTATCTAGTAATCCCTTGTTGGATATTTGCGTTGTTTCTACCTTTTATCTATTGTGAAAAATGTTGCTATTAACCTTGGTGTACAAGTACTGTTTGAATCCTTGCTTTCAATTCTTTGGGGCACAGACTTAGAGGCAGAATGGCTGGAGTATATGCTAATTCTATGTTTAACATTTTGAAGAACTGCCAGTTTTCCTAGAGCTCTATGATTTTAACTCTATTTCAACCACTGTCTTGAGACTTCAATATTTGTGCTGTTTTTTCCCCATCACTGAAACAGATATTACTTTCCAAAGATTAATTGGATGAAGTTTCTAAATCAATGGCATCTTTAGCTAAAAGATGGTATCATACAAAAATAATAAATAGCAGTACTTTTTCATAGTCGCTTACTTAATTCTGTGTCTCCAGGCACAGTTCTTGCTATTAGAAGCCCTAAAATTAAAAGGCCTTGAGTGCCATAAGCAAAATGGCAGGACAGGCAGCTCCAAACTCCCAGGCCTCCTCAGAGATACCAAAAAGATAACCAGAACTGTCAGAACCAACTTTGTCAGAACTCTGGAAAACAAAGGTAACAGAGTGAACGACCACTGAAACAAGAGAAAGACAACGTAGAAATGGGAGCAAAGCTCTGTGGCGTTTTTACATGCCTCTGCCTCATCCCTTCCCCAGCTCAACAGCAGTCTTGAAGACAGCAGCCTACGTTTCCGCATGGGAACCGGGTCTTTGGTTCTGAAGGGAGCAGAAAAGACCCTACTTGCAAATCACTGTGTTTGTTCGGACCTGTCTGGAGCTACCGGAAGGACGGATACAAGGCACTTGCCTCTAACATCAAACTCGGAACCCATTCAGAGTGGAAACACAACAGGCATTACTGGAAAATACCGTCATATGATTGAAAACCAGTAGCCAACTTGTGCAAAAAGTTATGGTTGCGACATAAAATAGACTGTTTAAAGCCAGGGAGAAAAAATCAGGAAGTGATTTTCCTTGGGAAATCAGGGCATTCAAAAGTGCCTATGTATACTGTGGAATTTAGAAAACCACACCCATGTTCAGGATCGGACATATGCTTAGAAAATACCTGTAAGCTCAGTGCAAGGAGGAAGTTGAGGCAGAAGCAAAATTATAAATGGCCTAAGTGTTCAAGGAATACCTGAGCACAGAGCTAATCTGTAAACACTAGAAAAGAAATACCAGCTAAGACTTCAGCAATCAAGAATAGCCAACCCTAGGCCGGGCGCTGTGGCTCACGCCTGTAATCCTAGCTCTTGGGAGGCCGAGGCGGGCGGATTGCTCAAGGTCAGGAGTTCAAAACCAGCCTGAGCAAGAGCGAGACCCCGTCTCTACTATAAATAGAAAGAAATTAATTGGCCAACTGATATATATATA